TCCGTATTGACTGGCCTTCATGTCTTAAAGTAATGGACTGTTATTTCTCTTTGCTTATTTGAGCTGTTCTTGCCATAATATTTACATTTTAGTCATTTAGCAGACACTCTTATCCAGAGCGACTTACAGGAACAATTAGGGTTAAGTGCCTTGCAAGGGCACAGACAGATTTTTCACCTAGTCGGCTTGGGGATTAGAACCAGCGACCTGTCGGTTACTGGCACAACGCTCTTAACCACTAAGCTACCTGCCGCCCCAATATGGACTTGGTCTTTTACCAAATAGGGTCATCTTCTGTATACCCCCCCCCCCCCACCTTGTCACAAAACAACTGATTGGCTGAAACGCATTAAGAAGGAAAGACATTTCACAAATTAACTTAAGGAAGGTACACCTGTTAATTGAAATGCATTCCAGGTGGTGAATACCTCATGGAGCTGGTTGAGAGAATGCCAAGAGTGTGCAAAGCTGTCAAGGCAAAGGGTGGCTATTTGAACAATGTCAAATATATTTTGATTCGTTTAACACTTTTTTGGTTACTACATGATTCCATGTGTTTTCATAGTTTTGATGTCTTCACTATTATTCTACAATGTAGAAAATAGTAAAAATAAAAACCCTTGAATGAGTAGGTGTTCGAGAGAGAGAGACAAATAACAAAACTGTTTGACATGGATGGATTATCTTGGCAAAGGAGAAATGCTCACTAACAGGGATGTAAACAAATTGGTGCACAAAACTTGAGAGAAACACTATTTTTGTGCATAAGATCGCCATGAACAATGCCAAGCATCGGATGGAGTGGTGTAAAGCTCACCGCCATTGGACTCTGGAGCAGTGGAAACGCGTTCCCTCTTCACCATCTGGCATTCCAACGGACTAATCTGGGTTTGGCGGATGCCAGGAGAAAGCTACCTTCCCGAATGCAGCGCCAATTGTAACTTTGGTGGAGGACGAATAATGGTCTGGGGCTGATTTTCATGGTTCGCGCTAGTCCCCTTAGTTCCAGTAAAAGGGAAATCTTAACGCTACCACATACAATTACATTCTAGAGGATTCTGTGCTTACACTTTGTGGCAACAGTTTGGGGAAGGCCCTTTCCTGTTTCAGTATGACAATGCCCCCACGCACAAAGCGAGGTCCATACAGAAATGTTTTGTCGAGATCGGTGTGGAAGAACTTGACTGGTATGCACAAAGCCTTGACCTCAACTTTATCGAACACCTTTGGGGATGAATTGGAACGCTGACTGCGAGCCAGGCCTAATCACCCAACATCAGTGCCCGACCCTACTAATGCTTGTGTCTTAATGATAGCAAGTCCCCGCAGCAATGTTCCAACATCTAGTGGAAAGCCTTCCCAGAAGTGTGGAGGCTGTTATAGCAGGAAAGGGGGGACCAACGCCATATTAACTCCCATGATTTTGGAATGAGATGTTAGACGAGCAGGTGTCCACATACTTTGTCATTTAATGTATGCAGAATTTTGTAGGCCATCCATAATAGCAGTTCACGAGGGCACGGAAAGTTTAAAATAGTCCCTAAGAGCCCCCCCCCCCAAAACAAAGATTGGTCACTGACTAAACAGCAATCAAAATCAAATATCACACATCGTGCCAATACAGGCCAATCAAATCGAGCTGTGCATACAAACTGAACAGTGATAGTCGGAAGATTTTCAAAAAGAACTTGGTTTAAGTCAAAACTAACCTCGGCCACTCAGGAACATTCACTAGTCTTCTTGGTAAGCAACTCCAGTGTAGATTTGGCTTTTTGTTTTAGGTTATTGTCCTGCTGAAAGGTGAATTAATCTGCCAGTGTCTGATAGAAAGCAGACAACCACGTTTTCCTCTAGGATTTTGCCTGTGCTTACAGTAGCTCCATTCAGTTTCTTTTTTTTTAATGCTAAAAACCTCCCCAGTCCTTTACGATTACAAGCATACCTATAACATGACGCAGCCACCACTATGCTTGAAAATATGGAGAGTGGTACTCCATAATGTGTTGTATTTGCCTGAAACATAACACTTTGTATTCAGGACAAAATGTTTCTTTGCAGTCTTACTTTAGTGCCTTGTTGCAAACAGCATGCATGTTTTGGAATATTTTTTATTCGGTACAGGCTTCATTTTTCCACTGTCAATTAGGGTAGTATTGTGGAGTAACTGCAATGTTGTTGATCCATCCTCAGTTTCCTTCTATCACAGCTGTTAAACTCTAACGGTTTTAAAGTCACCATTCGCCTCATGGTGAAATCCCAGAGCGGTTTCCTTCCTCTCCGGCAACGGAGTTAGGAAGGACGCCTGTATCCTTGTAGTGACTGGGTGTATTGATACACCATCCAAAGTGTAATTAATAACTTTACCATGCTCAAAGGGATATTCAATGCTCTTTGCGAGGCATTGGAAAACCTAGTCTGTGGTTGAATCGGTGTTAGAAATTCACTGCTATTATTGCACACAGTGAGTCCATGCAACTTATTATATGACTTGTTAAGCAAATGTATACTCCTTAACTTATTTAGGTTTGTCATAAAAGGGTTGAATACTTACTGACTCAAGACATTTCAGCGTTTAATGTTTAATTATTTTGATTAAAAAATGAAAAACATAATTCCATTGACATTATGGGGTATTGTGTGCAGGCTAGTGACCCCCCCCAAAAAACTCAATTTAATGCATTTTATATTCAGGCTCTAACACCAAAATATGGAAAAAGTAAAGGGGTGTGAATCCTTTCTGAACGCACTGTAGCTAGCGATGAAATATATATATATATATATATATATATATATATATATATATATATATATATATATATATATATATATATATATATATATATATATATATATATATATTTAGCTATGGATGGCTTTAGCAGCTAGTATGGCTAGCTATCTAATAGTCTAACTTATGTTAAAAATCGGTAGCCTAGTTGTCTAGCATGCCAATGTTAGCAAGCTATCCTTACAGCTAAGATGGCTACATGGCTGACCACCACCTGATGATAGCCATTATGGCTAGCACAGTTGTCACCATGTGTAGCCAGGACAAAAACATATTTTCACAATTTCACTAATATCAAAATCAGAAACATGTTTTTGGGCTCATTCAGTAGATTTTAACCGGATTTAAAAACATCTACTGGATTCTACTTTAAGTACCATTTATATTCCTAAAACTTGAAAATGATACTGCTGCTGCTTCTTGTTGTCACGGCTTTTTGATTTATGGCCATGACAAAACACCGGTTTGAGATGTTCCAATTCATAATCAATATGCTGAAATAACGTGATATTTTGACAACCAATAAATAAATAAAAAAAGTTACCACACACACTTAAGCTAAATTAGTACCTTATAAACTGCACACGGACCATTATTTACCAAGCGGTCACTCAAGACTGGAATTGATTAGCTTGTTCTACTGTAAAGATTGGTTTAGTGTCATGACAATAGCGCGTGCAAAATAAAATCACTCACAACACTTCTTTCGGTCTCCGTCACCATCAGAATGAGGAGAGGAGAGGAGAAAATATGAGAGAAGAGATGGTTAAGGTCATAATGACCTCCTCCAGGATTAGAACCATCCATTTATACTGGCCTGACACAAAGAGATCCGCTACGGAGGAGCACAATGCATGTGGAAAAGAGCAAGAAATTGGGAGTTATGACGCTTATGAGTGCGTCCCAAATGGCACCCTATTCCTTATAAAGTGCACTACTTTTGACCAGAGCCCTATGAGCCCTGCTAAATGTAGTGCTACGGCTGCACAATTAATCAAATTCACGTTGATATATTGTCATGTGCAATATCCATATCACAAGAGATCCATTCCATTCTCAGTGTAACGTCCAGTTATTTCTCTTCTTATGGCTGCTTCCCACATTACAACAAGCCTTCTGCGAACACCACACCGTGTGCCAATCACAGCAGGGAATAGTAGCAGAGTACGCCCTCTTCTCTTTCACATCAAACCATAAATGTACCCTCTCTTTAACACCCAGTCTCTTCTCCTCACATTCCTGATCTTGTTCGCTCTTCTACTCCCCCCTTTCCATTCTGTCCAGCCCTTTATTCAGTACCATCTCATTGTCTCCCCACTCGCAGGTTCTGTTCTGTCCAAACAGAATCCTGTTCAGTGATGGTAGATTAATTGAAACCATAAATTCATTGACAAAGACGTCATGGCTATGTTATTTTCTCCTTGGATTAAAAATAACCCATCTGTATATTGCCATGTTCAAATTAAATATGAATCAAATGAGTGTGTTACTGCTGTGTTTGCATGAGATTGGCTAGCGAGTGTGTAACCACTGTGTGTTCTGTCAGTATAGTGAGAGTGAGGAGGAGTGGGGTGGTAATGGTTTGACACATATCACAGTGGTGATTCAGTAAGCGAGGGAGGACGGCAGGCAGTGGGAAGAAAAGAGGGAGGGAGAGCGAGCGAGAACAGAGAGAGACAGATTATGCATTGCTGAAATGACGTCAGCTCATTGAGATGGAAGGTTTGTCTTTAAAACAGATGGAAATAAAATAAAATGGAAAAGTGTTTTGATAAAACGCAAGTTTACATTTGCTTTTAAAGCATCAGAAGGGAGTGAACTGCTTAAGTGAGATGAGTCATATCTAGTTATGTTAGAAGGGATATCAGACCATTTTCCCAGTGGGCCAAAGCGCCATATTTGTCTGTTAAAAGTTTCCTGACAGCTCTTATAGAGGAGAAATGGACACACCTTTCAAAACACAGAGAGCTGCCAGTCTTCACTGCAGCAGACAAGAGGCATACTTAGTCTAGCGCTACATTAAGGTTGTTGAAGATATTTAACATATGAAGTGGGCACGGCTCTCTATTTACAGAAATACAATGTAGTCTGTTTTAGTCACTATCCATCTGTGACTCTGATAATTGCACTACTGAGAAGACCCTGGTCCACCTTGCGATCATCTAATGTTATGAGAGTTCTGCATGGGCAGTCTGTGTGTGCCCGCTCTCTCTTACCGTGTGAGCTTGGTGCCTATCTGCTGCCTGGACTCCAGCCTCTCTTCGTCAGTCTGCATTGGCAGTATGTTCTTCTCCTCCAGCTCACTCTTAGATGGACGGTTACACAGCTTGATGGCCAGAGAGTCCTTCCTCAGCACCTTCAGAGCCAGGGTACCTACAGACAGACGCCAGGAGTTAAAGAAATTACCAGACCCATGGTACCTACACAAAGACCCACCTAAAGTTAACAGAAATGACCAGACCCAGGGTAACTATAGTGCAGAGACGCCACTAGTTTAAAAAAAACAACATCTGGGCTATGTGGCTTAGGGGACAAACATTTTATCTGTGTGTGTGTATGGACCCCTTACTTGTAAAGAGCGAGTCATCATCCTCGTCATCATATTCATCATCATCCTCATCCTCGTCTTTGTACATGCTGGGGAGGTCCTCGTAGTCGGACTCGTTGGGCATGTTCTCCTTGTCGTCCTCGTCGATGACCAAAGAGGGCACCTGGCTTCTGTCCAGCAGACTACACTGACCAGAATGCATTGCATTGCTGCAGGGAGAAGAGAGAGGGTGGGGGATAGTGTTCATGTTCGTGGTAATGATGGATAGAATCTTCTTCACAGTAACCTCGCCCATCTTCCACTTTCCCATGTTCCAGTGGGAATCTAATGGTTGCTATAGAAATGCAACAAGCTATAGAGAGTCATTATGACCATGACTCTACAAGTGGTTGACTCATTCCTATCTCCTGTGTAAGTCATCTGTGAAATGGCAGTGGCTGGAATTACCTTGACGCACCTCGATGTGTGAGTGTGAGGCTGTGAGCTAGCCATTTCTGGATCATGGTCATTAGCACAAAATTGTCCATCTTGACTTGCAACCATTGAGATAGTTAACCAGATATGTGTGTCTGTCTGAGCCATAGGTTCCTAGCTGGGAGTTCAGTCTGTATGACAGCCACAGCCTACATACCATTAGCTAGTTCCCCATATCCTTCATGTCACAGACCTTTCAGGTCAAATTAAACAAAGTGGTCAATTACCTGGGTCAGCGTGAGGGACTGGTTGCATACTGCAGTTGTAGAGTGGGGTTTTGATCCACATATCAAACGGCCTACACGGATATCACAGACTACCCACAAAGCCCCTGCTGTGAGCGCCCACTGAGGACTGTTCAGCTCACCATGAGACACGCAAAGCAAGTAATCATAGGACCAGGGAGGAAAGGAATCGTGAGAGGGACTGTGTGTGTATGTTTTTTTTGTTTTTTCTATCCTTGTAGGGACCAGAAGTGGGGACATTTCGCCAGTCCCAACAGGAATAAGGCTATTTTAGGCTTACAATTAGGGTTAGAATTAGGTTTAGGGAAAATATAATTTTGAATGGGAATCAATTGTTTGGTCCCCACAAGGATAAAACAAACATTTGTGTGTGTGCGCGCGCACAGTACCAGTCAAATGTTTAGACACACCTACTCATTCAAGGGTTTTTCTTTATTTTTACTACATTGTAGAATATAGTGAAGACATCAAAACTATGAAATAACATACAGAATCATGTAGTAACCCAAAAAAAAAGTGTGAAACAAAATCAAAATATATTTTATATTTGAGATTCTTCAAAGTATTTTTTTATTTTATAGTAGCCACCCTTTGCCTTGATGACAGCTTTGCACACTCTTGGCATTCTCTCAACCAGCTTCATGAGGTAGTCACCTGGAATGCATTTCAATTAACAGGTGTGCCTTGTTAAAAGTTAATTTGTGGAATTTATTTCCTTCTTAAATGTGTTTGAGCCAATCAGTTGTGTTGTAACAAGGTAGGGTTGGTATACAGAAGATTACCATATTTGGTAAAAGACCAAGTCCATATAATGGCAAGAACAGCTCAAATAAGCAAAGAGAAACGACAGTCCATCATTACTTTAAGACATGAAGGTCAGTCAATACGGAAAATCAAGAACTTTGAACGTTTCTTCAAGTGCAGTCGCAAAAACCATCAAGCGCTATGATGAAACTGGCTCTCATGAGGACCGCCACAGGAAAGGAAGACCCAGAGTTACTGCAGAGGATAAGTTCATTAGAGTTACCAGCCTCAGAAATTGCAGCCCAAATAAATGCTTCAGAGTTCAAGTAACAGACACATCAACAGCAACTGTTCAGAAGAGACTGCGTGAATCAGGCCTTTATGGTCTGATTCATGCAGACCATGAAGCCAAGAAACACGAGCAATGGACATTAGACTGCTGGACATCTGTCCTTTGATCTGGAGTCCAAATTTGAGATTTTTGGTTCCAACCGCTGTGTCTTTGTGAAAAACCCTTGTATGAGTAGGTGTGTCCAAACTTTTGACTGGTACTATATATATATATATAATATATATATATATATATATATATATATATATATATAGATATATATATATATATATATATATATATATATATATATATATATATATATATATATATATATATATATATATATATATATATATACACACACACACTGCTTAAAAAAATAAAGGGAACACTTAAACAACACATCCTAGATCTGAATGAATGACAATCTTATTAAATATTTTTTTTTTTTACATAGTTGAATGTGCTGACAACAAAATCACACAAAAATTATCAATGGAAATCAAATTTATCAACCAATGGAGGTCTGGATTTGGAGTCACCCTCAAAATTAAAGTGGAAAACCACACTACAGGCTGATCCAACTTTGATGTAATGTCCTTAAAACAAGTCAAAATGAGGCTCAGTAGTGTGTGTGGCCTCCACGTGCCTGTATGACCTCCCTACAACGCCTGGGCATGCTCCTGATGAGGTGGCGGATGGTCTCCTGAGGGATCTCCTCCCAGACCTGGACTAAAGCATCTGCCAACTCCTGGACAGTCTGTGGTGCAACGTGGCGTTGGTGGATGGAGCGAGACATGATGTCCCAGATGTGCTCAATTGGATTCAGGTCTGGGGAACGGGCGGGCCAGTCCATAGCATCAATGCCTTCCTCTTGCAGGAACTGCTGACACACTCCAGCCACATGAGGTCTAGCATTGTCTTGCATTAAGAGGAACCCAGGGCCAACCGCACCAGCATAAGGTCTCACAAGGGGTCTGAGGATCTCATCTCGGTACCTAATGGCAGTCAGGCTACCTCTGGCGAGCACATGGAGGGCTGTGCGGCCCCCCAAAGAAATGCCACCCCACACCATGACTGACCCACCGCCAATCCGGTCATGCTGGAGGATGTTACAGGCAGCAGAACGTTCTCCACGGCGTCTCCAGACTCTGTCACGTGTGCTCAGTGTGAACCTGCTTTCATCTGTGAAGAGCACAGGGCGCCAGTGGCAAATTTGCCAATCTTGGTGTTCTCTGGCAAATGCCAAATGTCCTGCACGTGTTGGGTTTTAAGCACAACCCCCACCTGTGGACATCAGGCCCTCATACCACCCTCATGGAGTCTGTTTCTGACCGTTTGAGCAGACATGCACATTTGTGGCCTGCTGGAGGTCATTTTGCAGGGCTCTGGCAGTGCTCTGGCAGTGCTCCTCCTGCTCCCCTCCTTGCACAAAGGCGGAGGTAGCGGTCCTGCTGCTGAGTTGTTGCCCTCCTACGGCCTCCTCCACGTCTCCTGATGTACTGGCCTGTCTCCTGGTAGCGCCTCCATGCTCTGGACACTACGCTGACAGACACAGCTCGCATTGATGTGCCATCCTGGATGAGCTGCACTACCTGAGCCACTTGTGTGGGTTGTAGACTCAGTCTCATGCTACCACTAGAGTGAAAGCACCGCCAGCATTCAAAAGTGACCAAAACATCAGCCAGGAAGCATAGAAACTGAGAAGTGGTCTGTGGTCACCACCTGCAGAACCACTTCTTTATTGGGGGTGTCTTGCTAATTGCCTATAATTTCCACCTGTTGTCTATTCCATTTGCACAACAGCATGTGAAATGTATTGTCAATCAGTGTTGCTTCCTAAGTGGACAGTTTGATTTCACAGAAGTGTGATTGACTTGGAGTTACATTGTGTTGTTTAAGTGTTCCCTTTATTTTTTTGAGCTATATATATATATATATATATATATATATATATATATAAATAAAAATGAGGACCCCCATTGAGAGGATGTATTGTACTCATGCATACATAGTCTACCTGAATAAATAAGGGTACCTAGCTCTTCTACAGTACCCCTCTACACATGCAATGATGATGATACTGGCTTTGTCCCGTTTCAATTAAAAGATAGGGAGATGAAGAATGGCTGACAGATTGATTCTTGTTGAGGTTTTTTTGTCCCATTTTTTGATTTCTGCAACCAAATGTTACATAAGCTACAGAGAAATGACATCATGTCCAATTTACCAATACATTTCTCCATATTCCTTTTTCCAGTGTCTGGTAGGGGGGAGGGTAGAGGACAGGACATGCTGTGCCAGGATTGCCTTTGGAGGAGGCCTGTGTGCCATGGTGCATACACACACACTGCTGTCAAAGTGGGCCACCCTTTACCAGTGGGACAGAGCGAGCTGGGTCAGACCTCTACAGCAGAGCCACATGGTGGCAGCCTGACACCAATATCACCAGGCAGGGGTGACCTGACCTACAAACCAGCTGGACCTGCTAGACTGAACACGAATTAAAAAAAAGAATTCATATTTAATTTTGAAATAGAACTGATGCTACACTCCACTCCCATTATAAAGTTGTGCCATCTAAACTATAAATTTCTACCTGCTATAGAAACTATTCAACCAGAGATACATACATTACGGTTTTATTTATTTAATACTGTGTATACAACAACTCACTTCTCCAGCCTCTGCAGGTTGAAGGCCAGCGTCTTGTTGAGCTCCTCGATGATGCGGCTGGGGGCGTGGCCTTGCATGGATCCGTACTGCAGCTGGAGCGGGTGGCTGTGGCCATGGTTAGTTATGGTTGTGGGTGTGTCCGTGGTTATGGTGGTTCCCGCCCCCCATGAGGCCCTGGTGGAGGTTGGCCAGGGCTGTGAACTGCGTGGGCAACAGAGGGCCATGGTGGGGGGGATGGCCCTGTGGAGGGGGGCACTTCTGCTGGGAGAAGGTCCTGAGGGGAGAGGGTGAGGAGCAGGAGGAGTTGTCCATTCCCCCTTGAGACACACAGATCATAACCTTCTTGGGAGGTAGAAGAGGAGAGAGCTTCCCTCCCTGGCCTGGCATACAGGGCAGCTTCATCTGCTGGCAAGAGTCTGGACAGAGATGGGTAGAGAAAGAAAAAAAGAGACCAAAACATTAACATTAAAACAGGTAAATGTCAATGTCACTTTTTTCTGAATTGCAATAGCAGGGAGTAGTGCATACTTTGATTAGTGCAGGGACTTTGACATGTTGGTTCTTCAAAGCTGCTAATTGTTGAGTATAATTAGGGCCATGCATTCCTTTTTCCTGGACACGTAACCTGCTCTTGGCCATATTGTAAGACACTGGCGACAGTCAGATACAGTGGATAGAAGTGACTGTGTACAGTAGAAGGCCCAGACTTGATTGAGCAGGGAAGAATTAGATTAGGCTATTGCCACTTCTATCTGACTGACAGATGGGCCCTGACAGACAGACTAGAGCTGACCTGGCTACACTGGGACTTAATGACACTAATCTCTCCATCCGCCATCTGCACAGAGACACAGTGTGCGTGCATGCACACACACACACGTGTCTACGGACAATAGGTTTAGGATTATTCAACTACGTAGCTGCCCAAACAAACGTTCAGTGTGTCTGTCTCGGAGCTCTGTACTGTAAACCATTTGCAAGTTCAGTTGATCTTCCATCTTGGTATTCAGTGTGCGGAGTGCCAAACATGATTATGATGTATATAAAACACTTGTCCCAATGTCCCCGTTGTTGACAGGTCTGGGCCTTAGATGAAGACCTGTGGTTGTCCTTCAACACCCTCAGGGGAGAGACAATTACAAGAAGCGCTTGACTGACTGTCCAATCCACTTTCCCTTTCTTGAAGCGGATCAGCAAATCTTGTTGTGGAGTTGTCTTTGTAGAACTGAGACAAATTAAATCGACACCGACCATACCAAGCACTTACAGGCATTTTGCTGATATCGTTCATTACGTTAAGTAGCCTATACTATGGAAATGTGAAGTTTGAAATTAAATACGTTTGCTATATGGGTGATTGTTAATGGGAGAATTGATGGCTACAATAATCAAACTAGTAGTAGTAGTAGTAGTAGTAGTAGTAGTAGTAGTTTAAAGAGTAATACAAACTTTTTTATTTTTAACTGGTGCACTTTGTTATAAACATATTGTTCTCGCATCAATTCATTTATTCGCAATACAGATTTTTGTCCATGTCACCCAGCTCTACGTCTTTGGCACATTAACAAGGGGCATAAGTGGCAGGGCCGCTGTAGTTGCTGATGTATGTGCGCTTACCTGTGCTGTAGTTGGGAATCCTGTTGAAAGGTTTGGGGGGGAGCGCAGGGGGCTGTTTGTGGTACATAGGGGTCTTGGCGGTGTTGTCCTGAACGTTGCAGAGGAAACCAACAGATTTCTTTGAAGGAAGGACCATAGACGACTTCATACTAGAGAGCTCCTGAGTACAGACTCCGCCCTCCATCGAGGATCGGAACTCCACGGTTGCTGAGAGAGACAGAAACACCAAATTATAAACATAATGTACAGGCGAAATGAAAATAATGGTCTACAAAGGTGAAGAGAACAAATTAGGTGTTGCATCATTCAAGTGAAGGATATGGTAGTGAGATACAAACACACATTGCATTCGGAAAGTACACTTTCCAACAGGACAATGACCCTAAGCACACAGCCAAGACAATGCAGGAGTGGCTTCGGGACAAGTCTCTGAATGTCCTTGAGTGGCCCAGCCAGAGCCTGGACTTGAACCCGATCAAAACATCTCTGGAGAGACCTGAAAATAGCTGTGCAGCGACGCTCCCCATCCAACCTGAGCTTGAGGGGCTCTGAAGAATGGGAGAAACGCCCCAAATACAGGTGTGCCAAGATCGTAGCGTCATACCCAAGAAGACGAGGCTATAATTGCTGCCAAAATGTGCTTCAACAAAGTACTGAGTAAAGGGTCTGAATACTTATGTAAATATGACTGCAGTTTTTTAAATTATATATATATATATATATATATATATATACACACATACACTAAAATGTCTAAAAACCTGTTTTTGCTTTGTCATTATGGGGTATTGTGTGTAGATTGATGAGGGGGGAAAAAACTATTTAAATCGATTTTAGAATAAGGCTGTAATGTAACAAAATGTGGAAAAAGTCAAGGGGTCTGCTTTCCAAATGCACTGTATATACACACACACACAAATTAATCCTCCCAGACAGGTGTGTTTTGTGCCCATCAGATCCTGCTGTGACAACCTCAAATGCACCACAGCTCCTTGTTCCTTTCGCGTCAAGAGGTCGCCTCCCGCTAGCAACAACGGCGAGAAAAAAATGACTCATTCTAAAGTGAGGATACTCCAAGAGATGTTCAAACAGTGGAGTCTGACAGCTGCCCATGGACCAATTCCTAACCACATCAAAAAAAGTGATGAAATGGTTGCATAATGACGATTGTAGCAAGCTGGCTGCACGAGGTCCATACGTAGCTGGGAAATTCCGTAGGGAGACAGACCGATGTCTGACACATGGGGCCTCATGAGAAAATACCCTTTTGTGACCATAAGTTGATAGTAGTAGTTCAACTTTCCTTGGTTGACGGTCTATCTAAATAATTTTCCTCATGCACATTGTCAGGTAAGAGACTGTTGTTTCTAAAGGACCACAAAAGCTGAAATGCAATGAGTAAGCCTACTACAGCACGTGAGCAAATCAGACTGATGAACCATTGCTCCAATAAAAGGACAAGGTTTGAGAGGGATCAGACAATCCCGTTTCACTTATTCCATTTCCCAAATGCCATCAATACAAAGGACGATGGGTGATTTTGAACACAGTAGGCTATTAAAAAAATTATCATTCATATGTTTTGGGTGTGTTTCAGATTATTTTGTGTCCTCGGAGGCCTCATTGGTGTCACACTTTTGCCACAGCTAACACGCCTCCAACTCCACTAAATCATGATCTTCAGCTTAGAATGCACTTAGTTTAAGCAGCTGTGTTTGCTAGAGATGGGGAAAAAGGTGTGACACCACTCCGGCACTCGAGGACTGAGTTAACCTCCCTTTGCCAACAGAATTTTTGTTGTTGAAAAATTCCCAAAAATCGGTCTTCTCATGAAAACGTCTGTAGCGTCCGAATAGTTTGGCCTAAAAACTAATATGACCACTCTATGGAAAGTTGCTACCATGATTATGGATAGTCCTGAAGGAATCGTGAATAATGATGAGTGGGAAGTTAGACGCACAAATAGGGCTGTAGCAAGCTGGCTACAGCCCTATTTTAGTCATTTAGCAGACGCTCTTATCCAGAGCGACTTACAGTTAGTGAATACATATTTTTTTTTATACTGGCCCCCCGTGGGAATCGAACCCACAACCCTGGCGTTGCAAACACCATGCTCTATCAACTGAGCTACATCCCTGCCGGCCATTCCCTCCCCTACCCTGGACGACGCTGGGCCAATTGTGCGCCGCCCATGACTCTCCCGGTCGCGGCCGGCGGCGACAGAGCCTGGATTCGAACCAGGATCTCTAGTGGCACAGTTAGCACTGCGATGCAGTGCCTTAGACCACTGCGCCACTCAGGAGTACCTACAACAACAAAATCAGAGCATGTCATAAACACCTTTAGCATCTCCAGTCCTCCACGCATACAAGCCACTGATGCACGCCTTTGGAACATCTACATAAAAACAAAAAAATTCAAATAAATCAATTTAATATACACCATCACAATAAATCCATTTATTTTAGGCAGGTCTAAAGAAACATTATGATATGAAGAAAATATATTTCAGAAGAACAGAATACAAGTTGGCCTACTGTATGTTATCTGGCTATGCTCCATGCCATAGGCTGTAGGCTTGTTCATTTAGCAGGCAAGATATGTGTATAAGTCCTGTGCCATTATTTTATAGTAAAATAAGAATATAATTGAACTTAGCTGAATAAAATGAAAGAATATCTTTCCCATTCCAGAGCAAATGCACATACAGTGGGGAGAACAAGTATTTGATACACTGCCGGTTTTGCAGGTTTTCCTACTTACAAAGCATATAGAGCTCTGTAATTTTTATCATAGGTACACGTCAACTGTGAGAGACGGAATCTAAAACAAAAATCCAGAAAATCACATTGTATGATTTTTAAGTAATTAATTTCCATTTTATTGCATGACATAAGTATTTGATCACCTACCAACCAGTAAGAATTCCGGGTCTCACATACCTGTTAGTTTTTCTTTAAGAAGCCCTCCTGTTCTCCACTCATTACCTGTATTAACTGCACCTGTTTGAACTCGTTACCTGTATAAAAGACACCTGTCCACACACTCAATCAAACAGACTCCAACCTCTCCACAATGGCCAAGACCAGAGAGCTGTGTAAGGACATCAGGGATAAAATTGTAGACCTGCACAAGGCTGGGATGGGCTACAGGAAAATAGGCAAGCAGCTTGGTGAGAAGGCAACAACAATTATTAGAAAATGGAAGAAGATCAAGATGACGGTCAATCACCCTCGGTCTGGGGCTCCATGCAAGATCTCACCTCATGGGGCATCAATGATCATGAGGAAGGTGAGGGATCAGCCCAGAACTACACGGCAGGACCTGGTCAATGACCTGAAAAGAGCTGGGACCACAGTCTCAAAGAAAACCATTAGTAACACACTACGCCGTCATGGATTAAAATCCTGCAGCGCATGCAAGGTCCCCCTGCTCAAGCCAGCGCATGTCCAGGCCCGTCTGAAGTTTGCCAATGACCATCTGGATGATCCAGAGGAGGAATGGGAGAAGGTCATGTGGTCTGATGAGACAAAAATAGAGCTTTTTGGTCTAAACTCCACTCGCCGTGTTTGGAGGAAGAAGAAGGATGAGTACAACCCCAAGAACACCATCCCAACCGTGAAGCATGGAGGTGGAAACATCATTCTTTGGGGATGCTTTTCTGCAAAGGGGACAGGACGACTGCACCGTATTGAGGGGAGGATGGATGGGGCCATGTATCGCGAGATCTTGGCCAACTACCTCCTTCCCTCAGTAAGAGCATTGAAGATTGGTCGTGGCTGGGTCTTCCAGCATGACAACGACCCGAAACACACAGTCAGGGCAACTAAGGAGTGGCTCCGTAAGAAGCATCTCAAGGTCCTGGAGTGGCCTAGCCAGTCTCCAGACCTGAACCCAATAGAAAATCTTTGGAGGGAGCTGAAAGTCTGTATTGCCCAGCGACAGCCCTGAAACCTGAAGGATCTGGAGAAGGTCTGTATGGAGGAGTGGGCCAAAATCCCTGCTGCAGTGTGTGCAAACCTGGTCAAGACCTACAGGAAATGTATGATCTCTGTAATTGCAAACAAAGGTTTCTGTACCAAATATTAAGTTCTACTTTTCTGATGTATCAAATACTTATGTCATGCAATAAAATGTAAATTAATTACTTAAAAAGCATACAATGTGATTTTCTGGATTTTTGTTTTAGATTCCGTCTCTCACAGTTGAAGTGTACCTATGATAAAAATTACAGACCTCTACATGCTTTGTAAGTAGGAAAACCTGCAAAATCGGCAGTGTATCAAATACTTGTTCTCCCCACTGTACATATGAAGTTGCTATGTTGAGCATAAAAAAGTGATCACTTGAAACAGGTCCTATATGCTAGATTTAGAGCTATTTGGCAACTTTAGTTGTGAATTATACAAACCTTAGAAATCTAAACATATAGCCTATGGCCTGCATGATGAGACTATAGGCTATATGATCTGAGAAAGTCGCAAAATAAAGCTTGCGCTCATTGCCTCAGGCTGCACACGCTGTTTTCTCATCAAGTGATCATATTTTCCTCCCCCATCAGAATATTCTCAATGTAATATTGTCTTTACTAATATGTCAAATTAGTTTTGATTTAGACTGGCCCATTATCAAATGGGCAGGGGAAAAATACATGTCATCATATGCACTGGAATAGCTGATGCAGGCCACTTTCCCCTCTCACTCATGCTGGTAGGGTGACCACATTTAAAAAATACCCAAATGCGGGACAAGAGGATGATTTTGCGGGACACCCTGGAATATGCATTTAGAGCTTCTTGCAATTGAATAACTGTTTAGTGAGCAAATTAGAGCATATGGTGTTAAGACACTACATAGCCTTCCTGTATTTTGTTTCAAGCAAAGCTCATTCTGCCTAGTAGCCTACATTCGCGCGCTGTTGAGTTCTGACCTCATGAGATTTTGTGTTGTTGGACTATTCATCTAACCATCCAAAATCTCATAAGAAATTACATTGTGTTTGTGTAACATTATACTATGCTATATTTGTTTCTGTTATATAGACTACTAATGAATCATTATGTGATCTTCCAAGACATTGATTCAGCTTAGATCTAACTTTATTCAAATGTAAACAACTGTGTGAGACGTAGCAGTGTCTCCGGTGCACTCTGGCAGCACTACACCCCTGCACTGAATGAGCCAATTGAAGTGCACCAGCCGCACCTAGCACATTCTTTTTCCTAGTGCAACATTTAAAAGGAGAGACCACAAGTGTGACTGTTTTATGAAAATCTGGGAATGTGTGGCCAAGGAAACATTTCTGGTTGGTCTCAGGGAATATAAAACCGTTAGGATGGGAGACATTTAAAAATGGGATTGAGTGAAGTAGCAGAAAATATGTTGAATGAGCAACTAATGGAGCATGGAGACTGGTGAGCCTCAAGTTTGACGAAATTACCTTTATGTATTTCCGTCTAATATGGCTATTTACTTCCTTTTGGAATATAGGCTAGATCAATTATGTACCAAAGACATCTTAAAATCATTTAAAATGTTTTTCTGCAATGCGTAATATGGTCACCAAAACAGCCCTACACACAAATATCATAACCCCCCAAAAAATGCTAACCTCCCATGTTATTCCTTTAAATTCACTCTAACAACAAAATGTAGAAAAACTAAAAAGGGGTGTGAATACTTTGAAGGCACTGTATCTCTATTATGCATGGGAGTACTTTCGAAAAGATTTCAAAAATTTAAAATCCTTGGAGCTGATTTGTTGGTGTTTTTAGTCTTTTATGTAAATCATAAAATAAAATAAATTGCACAGAACTTGAGGGGCCAAATAAAATAACCTGTAGGCCATTACAATAACAGGGGAGGTTAGCAATTTTGGGGGGGTATGATATTTGTGAGTCTAACTTTGTTAATCATTATTCATTCATGACTATCTGTAATAATGGTAGCATCGTTCCATAGAGTGGTCATATTAGTTTGAAGGCCACCCCATTCGGACGCTACAGACGTTTGTGAGAAGACCAATTTTTGTTTTAAATTTTTGTTTTAAATCTCTCTCCCACTAATTTTAGGGGCACAGAAATAAATTTATTTTCATAAGGAAAGCATCTCACCTTTTTCAAATATCTCCTTCAGCACGCCTCTCTTGATCAGCTCCTCTCTGCTTTGCCTTACCGACATCTTCCTCTCCAACGCTGAGGGAAAAACATGGGAGAAAGCATGAGGATTGTTCAATCATCAAAATCAATGGTGCAGGAGCATTCGAATATGGAAAAACATGAGTACCTTCAATATCAAACCGACACAGTAATCCTTCATTATGGTTGTTGTAGAGCAGAGTTCCCCAACTGGCGGCCTGCAGGTCAAATTTGGCCCGCATGTCATTTTATTTGGCCCCACAAGTTCTGAGCAAAACAAATATTAAAATGTTTATTTGTATTGTTTTACATAAAAAAATAAGTGGGGCAAAAAAATGCAAATCAGCGCCAAGTGATTTTTATTTAGGAAATCTGTTCCAAAAAGTATTCCCACACCAGAGGTAGTGCCTTCAGAAAGTATTCACACCCCTTGACTTTCTACATTTTGTTGTGTTACAGCCTGAATTAAATTTATATATTTTGTCACTGGCCCACACACACACACACACACACACACACACACACAATACCCCATAATGTCAAAAGTGGAATTATGTTTTTCTAAATGTTTACAAATTCATAAATGAAAAGCTGAAAATGTCTTGAGTCAATAAGTATTCAACCTCTTTGTTATGGCAAGCCTAAATAAGTTCAGGAGTAAAACATTTCTTAACAAGTCACATAAGTTGCATGGACTCACTCTGTGCAATAGTGTTTAACATTTTTTAATGACTACCTCATCTCTGTACCCCACACATCCAAAAGGACCCTCAGTTGAGAAGTGAATTTCAAAACAGAGTCAACCAAAGACCAGGGAGGTTGTCCAATGCCTCGCAAAGAAGGGCACCCATTGGTAGATGGGTAAAAATAAAAAAAGCAGACATTGAATATCCCTTTGAGCATGATGAAGTTATTAATTACACTTTGTATGGTGTATCAATACACCCGGTCACTACAAATATACAGGCGTCCTTTCTAACTCAGTTGCTGGAGAGGAAGGAAACTACTCAGGGATTTCACCATGAGGCCAATGGTGACTTTAAAAACAGTTAGAGTTTAATGGTGATGGCTCAACATTGTAGTTACTCCACAATATTAGCCTAATTGACAGAGTGAAAAGGAGGAAGCCTGTACAGAATACAAATATTCCTGTTTGCAACAAGGCACTAAAGTAATACTGAAAAAAAATGAATACAAAAGTGTTTTGTTTGGGGCAAATCCAATACAACATATTACTGAGTACCACTCAATATTTTCAAGCATAGTTGTGGCTGTATCATGTTATGGGTATGCTTGTAACCATTAAGGGCTGGGGATTTTTTCCCAGAAAAAAAAGAAACTGAACTACGCACAGGCAAAATCCTAGAGGAAAACCTGGTTCAGCCTGCTTTCCACCAGACACTGGGAGATTAATTCACCTTTCAGCAGGACAATAACCTAAAACACAAGACCAAATCTACACTGGAGTTGCTTACCAAGAAGACCGTGACTGTTCCAGAGTGGCCGAGTTACAGTTTTGACTTAAATCTGCTTGAAAATCTATGGCAAGACTTGAAAATGGCTGTCTAGCTATGGTCAACAACAAATGACAGCTTGAAGAATTGAGATTAATAAATGTTTAAATATTGTACAGTCCAGGTGTGCAAAGCACTTTAGAAACTTACCCAGAAAGACAGCTGTAGTTACTACCAAAGGTGATTCTACAAAGTATTGATTCAGGGGTGTGAATCATTATGTAAATTAAGATCTTTGTATTTCATTTTCAATACATTTGCAAGAAATGTCTATAAACATGTTGTTTTCACTTTGTCATTATGTGATATTATGTGTAGACGGGTGAGAAAACAAAATCAATTGAATCGATTTTGAATTGAGGCTATAACAAAATGTGGAGTAAGTCAAGGGGTATGCTTACTTTCTGAAGGCACTGTATATGATCATATACACTGCTCAAAAAAATAAAAGGGAACACTAAAATAACACATCCTAGATCTGAATGAATGAAATAATCTTAAATACTTTTTTCTTTACATAGTTGAATGTGCTGACAACAAAAATCACACAAAAATTATCAATGGAAATCAAATTTATCAACCCATGGAGGTCTGGATTTGGAGTCACCCTCAAAATTAAAGTGGAAAACCACACTACAGGCTGATCCAACTTTGATGTAATGTCCTTAAAACAAGTCAAAATGAGGCTCAGTAGTGTGTGTGGCCTCCACGTGCCTGTATGACCTCCCTACAACGCCTGGGCATGCTCCTGATGAGGTGGCGGATGGTCTCCTGAGGGATCTCCTCCCAGACCTAGACTAAAGCATCCGCCAACTCCTGGACAGTCTGTGGTGCAACGTGGCGTTGGTGGATGGAGCGAGACATGATGTCCCAGATGTGCTCAATTGGATTCAGGTCTGGGGAACGGGCGGGCCAGTCCATAGCATCAATGCCTTCCTCTTGCAGGAATTGCTGACACTCCAGCCACATGAGGTCTAGCATTGTCTTGCATTAGGAGGAACCCAGGGCCAACCGCACCAGCATAAGGTCTCACAAGGGGTCTGAGGATCTCATCTCGGTTCCTAATGGCAGTCAGGCTACCTCTGGCGAGCACATGGAGGGCTGTGCGGCCCCCCAAAGAAATGCCACCCCACACCATGACTGACCCACCGCCAAACCGGTCATGCTGGAGGATGTTACAGGCAGCAGAACGTTCTCCACGGCGTCTCCAGACTCTGTCACGTGCTCAGTGTGAACCTGCTTTCATCTGTGAAGAGCACAGGGCGCCAGTGGCGAATTTGCCAATCTTGGTGTTCTCTGGCAAATCCCAAACATCCTGTGGACGTCGGGCCCTCATACCACCCTCATGGACTCTGTTTCTGACCGTTTGAGCAGACACATGCACATTTGTGGCCTGCTGGAGGTCATTTTGCAGGGCTCTGGCAGTGCTCCTCCTGCTCCTCCTTGCACAAAGGCGGAGGTAGCAGTCCAGCTGCTCGGTTGTTGCCCTCCTACGGCCTCCTCCACGTCTCCTGATGTACTGGCCTGTCTCCTGGTAGCGCCTCCATGCTCTGGACACTACGCTGACAGACACAGCAAACCTTCTTGCCACAGCTCGCATTGATGTGCCATCCTGGATGAGCTGCACTACCTGAGCCACTTCTGTGGGTTGTAGACCCCGTCTCATGCTACCACTAGAGTGAAAGCACCGCCAGCATTCAAAAGTGACCAAAACATCAGCCAGGAAGCATAGGAACTGAGAAGTGGTCTGTGATCACCACCTGCAAAACCAGTCCTTTATTGGGGGTGTCTTGCTAATTGCCTATAATTTCCACCTGTTGTTTATTCCATTTGCACAACAGCATGTGAAATTTATTGTCAATCAGTGTTGCTTCCTAAGTGGACAGTTTGATTTCACAGAAGTGTGATTGACTTGGAGTTACATTGTGTTGTTTAAGTGTTCCCTTTATTTTTTTGAGCAGTGTACAAATGTTAAGCAAGGTTTGAAATGATTATATTTTAGTCAAATATATCTGTTTGGGCTTCTTGCGCTCAATTTGAAGTCTACAAAATTATTTGTAATTATGTTCCGGACCCCTGACCATCCGCTCATGAAAGCAAAGAAAAATCGTCCCGTGGCTGAATGTAGTTGGTGATCCCTGTTGTAGAGCTAATCACAAGATTAGGAAAACAAGGATGAGGATTATGTTGGATCACCCACGTCATCAATTAGTTAATATTGGCAATTTTCCCCTGGTAATTTCCATAAAATGTGTTCGCTTGGCTCCCAACACTGATCTGCACACTTGGGATTGAACACACACACGTCATTGGCACTCTGGTCATCATGGGTACAGTGCGTCACACTATGTTCCCAAGAGGCCATGCATTCACCATGGGGACACGAGTGACATGAGGGATGGGTGCAAAAATTTGAACAAACTCAGTTTCACTTAGTCTAAAATATTATGAATCGATGCCCAACTGCTCATCAAAATCATGTAGAAGAATTTAGGGATTAGTCAAATGTGCAAAAAACAGTTAAGCCTGTTGAAATGGTCAAACATGTCTAACATAATTCAGTTGGAAAGAAATGTATCAACTCAAGGCATTTCTTCAAAGGCATGAAGGAAGATTTTAACCTCATTTGTAATAATGAAAGAGAATAATATAAAGGCAATGCAACACCTCCCAAAGTAATGCATTATGTACGAGCATGTCAATTAGGCATATCCCAAGCTAACCCTTCTATATTTAAATCTCAGCAGTTGAGGGACGTTATCTATCGCTGGGCTGAACCCGAGGCAGTTCAGTGTCACGTTAGTAATTTATAAATCTACCCCTGCAAAGGAACCAATTAAGAATGTGAAATGAGGAGCAGCAAGAACACTTGAGCAGCACACTGCGCAACAATCTCCCTGCAGGCCACCAGCACTTGTTCAAGTGAGATTATGTGCGTGCATTCAAACGTATAGTATGTGTGCATGAGCATGTGCATGCAAATGTGGTGTGTGCACATGTGAGTGGAATACAGAGCCGCCCACAGCTCTTTCAACAGTAGGGGCCAGGGCCAATGCTAATGCACCTTTACCAAAATTAAATAGAACCCAAAACAGTTTGGTCCCTCAAGCCCATCAACAGGCCCCCCCCTCCCCCTCCTCTCAGTCAATACACTGTGTGGATTATAACTAATGGCTTAAACTCAAAAAGGGAAGACACACATGAGAATCATTCAAATGTCAGAAACTGTTGTGACCCCTAGTGCAGGCAGTCGGAGTGAACCCAGGTGTTCTAAAATGTCACATTGAATAAAGTTATCGTATGCTTCATTATGAGCTCCTCCAGGACTCCAGATGTTTAAGACACCATCCAAACTTCAAAGGCTACCCAGCGAAACATGTTGGGGATGGGCTGGAAGCCACGTGTTGGCTGCTGCTGAAATGGTTTGGCAAGTAGACAGGATCAAAACATCCCTACACCATCCAGAAAGAGTCACCTCTACTGGAGCCTCGGGAGAAGTGGAATTTGGGTAG